TCGAACGAATTAAAATTCCGTTCGTTTTCCACTATTTCATTGTATTCGTCATTAATTAAAAACGATAGTAAAATTTTTCAAAAAATGTCATTATCATCGTGACATATATATATATCTACCTCCTTGCGGAAAGAATTGTGAATAGATGCACTTGAAAGTTTCCTCTCTGACGACTCCCGTGGGACATTCCGCCTTGAAGCCACGATATATTCTCTTCAACTCTGCCTCTGTGAATCTGGTGGCACGACAAAGACTCGCCAAAGAGTCGGGCCTGTATCTCGGCGTTTGTTCCTCCTCGTACTCCGAGTCTGAAAAATCGAGATCACGAGAGAGTTAATCATCGGTCCAATTTCTTATTTTCCCGATCGAATCGATTTCCATAATTAATTAAACATTGTTTGAGAAATACTTGTCAATCCGACTAAGATGTTTAATCAGTGGTTGCGGTTTAACCAAACCGATACGCTACAACAATTATTTCGTAACTGTAAATTATTATTTTAAATCGATTCGAGATTGGTATCGTATAAAAAAATCGTACCACAGAAATATAAACACAGTTTCTAGATCATAGAATTCGAAATTCCGTTCACAAGGATGTAATGCAGGAGATGTTGGATATCGTGGTCTCGCGTGATTTTCATTGAAAATATCTGTCCAGTTCTACATCTACACGGACACAGTTTGGCCAGTTTGTTCCGAAGGGTGTTTTACGAGTTTGCAAAGTACATTTTGAGCGAGCGGTATATTCCGATAGCCGAGTTGTTAAAGAAGCCGAAAGGCGGCCGGTTAAGCGAGGTGTGAAGACAGAGATTTATCAGATTCGAAGCGAGGTTTTTGGTTGAATTTCGATCGATTTATCATTCGCTCGGCGAAAATAAAGAGAGATAGGTTTTAATCGAGCACATCTTTCCACGCAATATTAATTAAAATTTCCCATTTTCGTATAGATCCGCGCGATAAATAAAGCGATAAATGAAAACTCCGTTACGGCGATACGACATTAAAGGGTTCCGGTTGATTTAACACGAACAAACGAAAGCTTGTCAACTAGAAACTTTATCAACCATTTCAATATTACGCCCGGTTTAATCCTCAAGTAGGTATCCGTATAATATTCAGCTTTCAACCAATTAAACTCGCGTTAACGCGATGCGCTATTTGAAACGCATGTGGAGTCGCGTGAAAACGACGATTATAGCGTATTCGAGGTTAACGTGTTTACGTTGATTATTTCCATATACCACGGATTTAGGAGGAACTGTGCGTTTTACAACATAACGTGTCCCGTTAATAAATACTTTTTAATATTCGTAAAGGACATACTATTCTAAAAAGCAAACGATTAATTTCTCTGATAGTTAAGGATGCAGATATTTATTTAGATAAAGTGGTATCCTCTGATGTGCGGTGTAGATTCATGAAATACGTGTCTAGGAAATCAAGGAACTTTGCTCGGATAAACTTTGAAATTTCAATTTCGGATATGGTATTCTGTTCCAGGAGAAGGATTTACATCATCGATAGATTCGAATTCACTATAACATTATAAAGTAAACGCTTAGTTTCGAATATAATTATTTTAAACCAAAATATCGAGAAGAATATAATAATATTTCTTACCGATTCCTTTCAGTTTTGTCATTTATTGTGAACGACAACATATGTTAAAAGGAAAAAGAAAGAGAGAGATATTAATTTGTCGTATCGTTTCTCAATAGAAAAATTCTAAAATAAATCTTCGTACGGAAAAGAATATCCGTTTGTAATTGAAATTCGTATGAAGTATAGATGTGGATACTCCCCGCTGTACAACGCAGGAGGTTCCTTGGCAATCGTATATTATAGTTCGCGCGGATTCACCAGGCTTGAAATCTCCATTACACGGAAGAAATCCAAAGAGATTTTTTACGTTTATTTCACACTTTTACCTCTTTCTCTCTCTCTCTCCGTTTTCCCTCCTTTAATCCATTTACATACGTTCATTAATTTCCTTTTTTTCTTTGCAAAACGAACGAATCTTTTTCTTCTACATAGATTTTAGTTTTTTCTTAAATTTCAGTTCTAGGAATAAAGCAGTGGGTCGAAAATAATGGATCAAGCAACGAATATTTAAAAATCGTTGATCGAAAGGTTAAAAGCAATTAACATTGGCGCGTTTTTTCCATTTCTTTTCGATCGCAGCATAATTCGAGGCACGTGCGATCGACGATGCACCAATCACGACTGCTACACCTTTACGCCCGTTTAAATGAATTTCCCGCGGCAGAAACCTATTGTCAGCTTGTTTCGATCGCGCACCGACGACGTATGCTTTTATTCATCTCGCGATTAAACGAGGCGTTGAATTGCAGTGGAAATGCTTTCGAGAATTCAGTTACCTCTCACGGGAGCGAAAGGCGGCGGCGGCGACGAGTAAAGAAATTTATTGGAAACTGTTCCCCTTCTTCAATGGGGAAATGTTGACCTATTTTTCTTCCCTTTTTTTTTCTCGTGTATCGTCGATCGATGCTCGTATCCCTCGAATTCTTTCTCTTTACAACTTTCATTTATTAATTCTCCAAATTATCACTGTAATATCCCGTTTTTTCTCGGGAGAAAACAAACTTTTTCAGATACGATAATCGAAAGTGATCAATAATAATAACTTCTCCGGAGAGTTAACGGGATAATTTTTTCCTTGCATATCTTTTTCTTCTTTCCAAAGGGAAATACACTCGATAATAATTTCTTATTAACCTCGATGAATTATTTCATTGATATTTAAAAGGATTTCTAAGTGGCGGCTTGAATTTTTCATCGGGCTTTACTCGAACATCGACATGGCAGAATGCAATGATAGTCAGCAAGAGGAAGTATCGGAGAAAGAAGAAGAAGAAGAAGAAGAAGAAGAAGAAGAAGAAGAAGGTCGATCGGAGTATAAGTCGAGCACAATAACCTTTGGAAACGGAGGGGAAGAGTGAGGGGGAGGACGTGTGCATGTACGCAGGAAGAAGTATGTAGGGAATCATGCAACATAGATGACTGGGTAAAGCACGTAAGCAACTCGGGAGGCTTCTTGGAACAGAAGCTCGAGGAGAGGAGACTCGCACGTCCCTGGAAAATGTGTTCCAACCACTTCATGGGATACGATTCGAGCGTACGGTGCGGTATACGCGATAAATTGGCACCAACTTTGCGAAACCATATTTGCATTTCGAAATTTTATCTGCTTCGTCCCTACTAGCTGAAACTTTTAGCTGTATTTTCGAATTTGCTATATATAAAAATTTACTTGGATTTTTAAAAAAATTAATATCGAGATAAATTTAATTTGGAAATATTTTCAACACGAGGACTGTTTAAAGAACTTCCCCTCAAATTGATGGCTTACTAACACATGCACTTTCAACGAACGACAATCGAAAGCTAGCTACAATTCTATTCATAAATTGGCATCAACTTTGCGAAACATTCCAAAATTTCATCTACTTCGTCCCTTTAGCTGCAACTTTATGTTTATATATAAAAAAATTATGCATTAAATTAATGCCGAGATAAATAAATTATAATTTAATTTGGAAATATTTTCAACACGAGGACTGTTTAAAGAACTTCCCCTCAAATTGATTACTAACACATGCACTTTCAACGAACGACAATCGAAAGCTAGTTGTAATTATATTCATAAATTGGCATCAACTTTGCGAAACATATTTGCATTCCAAAATTTCATCTGCTTTTCTACTAGCTGCAACTTTTAGCTGTGTTTTCGAATTCGTTATATATAAAAATTTAATTGGATTTTTAAAAAAATTGGAAATATTTTCAACGAGAATTGTTTAAAGAACTTCCCCTCAAATTGATGGCTTACTAACACATGCACTTTAAACGAACGACAATCGAAAGCTAGCTGTAATTCTATTCATAAATTGGCATCAATTTTGCGAAACATATTTGCATTCCAAAATTTCATCTGCTTCATCCCTACCAACTTTTAGCTATGTTTTCGAATTTGCTATATAAAAATTGCTATATATAAAAATTTAATTGGATTTTTAAAAAAATTGGAAACATTTTCAACACGAGGACTGTTTAAAGGACTTCCCCTCAAATTGATGGCTTACTAACACATGCACTTTCAACGAACGACAATCGAAAGCTAGCTACAATTCTATTCATAAATTGGCATCAATTTGCGAAACATATTTGCATTCCAAAATTTCATCTGCTTCGTCCCTCTAACTACAACTTCGTGTTTTTTGAAATTTGCGTATATAAATATAAATACGTGTTTCAGTATAGAAGTCACGCATAGAATGCCGTTTCCTCTCAACTTGATAGCTTACGATTCATTAACACATGCAACTCCGTCCGATAAACGTTTCTGAATGGACATACACCTTTCGAAACTTTCTAATAAAAAATTGGGAAGAGAAAAATATCTAAGAAATTTCGTTCATCATGCAAAATAAATACATACTACTTGCGGGAATAATTAGCTAATAATTAGCCAAAATACCTAAAGCGAATTTCACTCCGGTCCACGCCTGTCGAACGTAATTGATCAGCCTCCTGTAGAGGGGCCTAGGCGGCCTTTTCGTCGAGGTGCCCTCCTCCTCGTCCCCCTGGCCGTCGCTGTCCAAGGCTCCCGGCGGTGGCCCCACGCCCGTCAGCGTGCCAACCTGGTTCCTCTCCCCAAGAATGTTCACCACTTCTCGCAGCTCAGGCGCTACGCCCTGCAGTCCTGAATTGTAATTCGCGGGGGCGACGCCTGAACCGAGGAGGCTCGCGCCGCCCCCGCGACCTCTGCCGCGGCCACGGCTACCACGACCCCAGGCGGCACCGCTACCTTCCAGATTATAACACCGAGTTATAACGCCGCTTAAACGCTACGCGACAATTCCACGAAATTCGCTATAATCGTTGCGTGCTCTGTCATGTGTCTATGTGTGTGTGTGTG